GTAGTGCCATTGACAGAAATACAAAAGTTCAAAGGCAAAACAGATTTCAGAGTTTAGAAAGATGAGTTCAGCTTCAGGCAGGTTGAGTATGAGATGTCAGTGGGACATTCAGGTGGAGATTTGCCTAACAGTCAGTTGGAGAGGCAGGATCCAATCTCCAAGAGGTTGAGAGTAAAGACATAGATTGGAAAGGCATCTGAATAGAGGTAGAGCTATGAGACACCAAGGGAAATACTAAGGGAGAAAAAGTGGAAAGACAAGAAAAAAGGACCTACAACAGAATCTCAGAAGAACATGTTTGAGAAGCAATAGGACAATGAACCAGTAAAGTAGACTGGTATAAGAAGATCAAAAGGAGAGCTGTATCAAGATGCCAAAGGAGGAAAGTCAGTCCAGCAAGTGGGTTCAATGGTGTTAAATGCTGCAGAAAGGTTAGGGAGGTTAAGAATTTTAAAAAGGTCAATTAAGGCAATTAAGGTCTGGGACAGAAACATTTCAACAGAGTAGTGGCAATAGAAAATTGTAGGTAGTTGAGGAACTCTGTAAATGGGTGTGGAGGAAATGGAAACACTGAGTGTACACTAATCTTTCTGTAAGTTTAATAGCAAAAGGCAGGAGAGATATGGGGATAAATCAAACGGGTGACAGGGTCAATGAAAAAGAATAAAGGAAGCCTAAGAATGTTTATAGGCAATGGGGAAGAAATGAATAGAGAGGGTGTGAATCATAGAAAACAGTTCCATGGAGGTGGGGGGATAAAGATAGGAAAAAATGGATCAATAACACAAGGAAAGGAGTTAATTTGGTAAGACGTAGGGTCACCTTGTCTTCTGAGAATGGAAAAAAAGATAGGATTTTGAGAAGAAAAGGATGGAAAATAATAAAACTTAGGATGGACAGCTTCAATCTTCTCATTAAAGTAGGAGGCAAGGGCATCTTCAGAGGTGAGTGGGGTGGTGTTGGGGGATGAAGGAAAGCTGGGAGAGTTTGTAATAGCTGTGGTGGAAAGCCTGAGAGGGAGTCAGTCAGAAATGAGTAGTAAGGTTCAATAGCATGACTTTTAGTGGGCTCATGATGATTTCATTACTTCCTTAACAAGGAGGAATAACAAACAGAATAACAAACATTGGAGGGATTTAAAAGTGAAAGATAGTGCCTTCTTGAACTGCTTTACTATAGTTAAGATTGTAAAGGGAGAGAAGTAAAGCTAAAACAGGCATGATAAATTGGGGGAAAAAAGGAGATCAATGAAGCACAGGGCAAAGGCAGACCAATTTCAGCAGTGGAAGAAATGAAAGGAGAGGGGATTATGAACAAAGAGGGGAATTTCAGAACTTGTGACCTTGAAGGTCAGAAATAGGTTGGACTTGAGTTTCTGAGGTCCCTTCTGACATTCCATGATTTCTCTGACCCTCTGTGTCTTTGAAATGCTGTATGTACATCAACGTTTTGTAAATCAAATCATATTTTAATGTTCCAGGGGATTTGGCATTTAAAGGAACACTGTGATAAATCTTTTTGAAGAGCACTTTTTGTATTAGAAGCAAAGAAGTGCCCAATAATTAGGAAATGGCTAAACAAGTTGTGATGCATGAATCTAATCAAATACCAGGATATAAGAAATAAAGACCACAGAGAAGCATGGGAACTGATACAAAGTGAAGTAAGCAGAACCATGAAAACAATATGCTCACAGACCTTGATCGATGTAAATGAGAAGAAAAATGATAACAAAGCAACCAAAACTGAATGCCATGAAACTACGATGACCAAGCTTGGCCTTAAAGAAGACACATGAGAGGGGATGAAACAGTAAAAATCTTGTCACACTTTTTCATTCTATTGGCTACTTTTGCTGAACTATTTTCCCATCTCTTTGTTATCAGGGATGCTTCTCTAGGAGGAGATGGGAAAAGAGATAAATTGGGAAATGAAGGTGATATAAAAACAAAAAGGTAACAATTAAAATTTATTTGAAAAACTTTTTGCAGAGCAAATCTTCATTCATTTGTCTTTTCTTTAAATTCTGTCCATAGGAATCAGAAAAACCCTAGAAAATTAGCTGTATTATCTTCTTCACTGAAGGAAATGTAATTCAAAGGAAAGGGCCTTGTATTTGAACTCAAATGGTCACTATTCAAAACTCAGATCTGTTATTTAGTGCCCTTGAGCAACTCAAGTTTTGAGTTTTTAGGCCTAAGTTTTTTCATCTGTAAAACAAATGAGAAGATCTCTATGGTGCTTCCGATTCTAAATCTTATAATTATTAGAGGTAGTGGAGGATATGTTAACACTGTTCTCTTAATTTAATTCCTATTTGAGAGGTGAGGTATACCAAAATTGTCAGTGGGAAAAAAATAAGGATTAACAAGGAGATGAATATTCACTGACTTGTATGGTTAAAATGGTCACTGTAGGAAATGATTGAGACAACCTGTTACGATCACATGGAGAAGATCTGTCATGTGCTATGTTAATAATATGAGAACTTGCTTTTGGTTTCTAATAACCCAGCACTTCTGAGAAGCGTTCAAGTTTACTCAAACATTTCTTACTTCTGGAGTGGAAAAAATAAAACCATTAATGCTACGAGTTGAGAAATCTCACTGCATATTACATTGTCAGCAGCTGGGAGTAAGATGCCCATAATAGCCAAAGGATTACATTCTACTAAGGGTGAGTCCAGGAACAATATTGAAACAATGATATCTAAATTTCAAATATAATCTTCTTTCAAAGAGAGGAACACTTAAGAAAATCTTACAGGCAAAAGAAAATGCCCAACTCTGAAACTGGTAGCAATGAGCTTAGAAACAAGTGTATTGAACCCATCTAGGAGTTGATCATGCCCAAGACAGTCAGGTGGCACAACTGATCCTGCTGTTGGAAACTTCCAAGTGGTCTTGTGTTAAGAACCCTGGATTTAGGACCAGAAGATCAAAACGTTAATCACATAATCTTGGAGTTGGAAGCTACTTCAGACATCATCTAGTCCAACCCACTACTGAGCAAGTCTGCTCTCTATCATGATGAAAAATGGTCATCCAATATTGCTGGAAGAACTCAAGGTAAGAGAGAACCCACTACCTCCTGAGGCAGCCTAGCCCACTCTGAGATAATTCTGATCATTAGCAAATTTTTTCTCACATCAACTAAGGGTTAGCTGAGTCAGGTACTTTCCAAGCCCTGTAGGGGGTCTGCCCTTACTTTTCTCTTGATGATTAGAGGGAAAAGGTTAAAGGATTCCCTTGAGGGCTCCCTTATCAGGGATCCCTATGCCTTCCTCCTCAACTAGCTTCCAGGTCATAGGAATACAGTACATTAGTGGTGGAGAGATAGACCTTTGATTTCATTGGTATAGGGAGTTCCTTCTACATAGATCAGTGCATGATTTGAAGGTACAGAACTTTTTGTGGGACAGAGCCTTGACCTTTGAGTCAGCTGGCTTAAAATCTTCACTTTAGCCTTGACCTCTTGTCTGAGTCTGAGCTTCTAGAATTTAGTATTCCTACAAAATGGGGTATGTGGAGGTGGTGGTGGTAGGACACTGATATGGAATCAGGAGATCTATTTTTAAATACAAGTTCTGCCACTGAATACCTCTGTGATCTCAGGTAAGCCACTTGGTTTTGTTGGGCCCCATTTTACTAAATAAAATGAGTGGGCTGGACTAGAAAGGACCCTTTCCTAGTCACAGCAATTTGCTAGAAAAATTTGGCCTTTAATATACAGAAAACAATTAAAGCCATTCAGCAGAAAATCAGGCTGTCTTTGCATGTAGTGAGTTCCCTACCACTGGAGGTTTTACCAAGGAGAGATCAAATGCTTATTGAATTGAATAGAGTTAAAGTACCACTTATGATAAAGATGTTGGCCTATCCCATAGAGAGCCAGCCTGAAGGGAGCAAAGAAACTTTGATTCTTAGTGATGAAAAACTGATGAAGTGTAAGATCCTTAGAAATTCTGAAAGACAAACTGCCAGGGATATTTTAGAGGAGATTTCTATTCAAGTAAAGGTTGGACTATATGATCTTTGTGGTCCCTTTCACCATTGATGTCCTATGAGTCCCTTCCAGCCCTAAATCTTAGGATCCTATACCTAAGCCTTAAGCTAAGTGTGTACATATACACAGACCCACATATATACATATATGTGTGTGTGTGTGTGTGTATGTATGCATGTATGTATATATGTATGTATGGGCACAAGCTTTGACTTGCACCATATTGGCATTTCCTTGTGCCATATTTGTATGTGTGCATATATATAAACCTCAGTGATCTTTGGAGGGAATAACTATAACACTTTGTGGTCTGAGGAACATGGACAATGCAAGCTCTTCCAATTATTTTGATCTATTTTCTTTGTACCCCTCACCTCTATAGTTAGGCAGGGAAAAGCAAAGAAAAATCTCTTTTTTTCATAATTTGCCTGCAACTTAACTTATCTCCTACTACGTCCTGTTCATGAACCTTATATCACCACCAAATCGGCCTCCCCTTCACGCTCACTCTTCCACCTGTGCCTCTGGCCATAATGCCTCCTTGCCTGCCTAGAAGATGAGCTCCTTTCCTCTTTGTCTACTGAACTTGCTTCCTTCCTTCAACTTTCAACATGGGCACCATGTCTTTTGTGAACTCTTATGACTCTCCCTAACTTCCCTTCTCCCTGAATGAAGTCATTTCTCCAGGCTCAGGTTCCTAATAACACTTTACTTGTATGTTTCACTTGTCTTATCACTTCCACTCCTGCATCATTATTATTTGTGTGCCTGTGTTCTATTCTATTTGATTGTTAAGCTCCTAGAGACTAGGTCCTTTAAAAAAAAAAACAAACCTATCAGTTCCTTGCACTCAGTAAGCCCTTGATAAGTATTTGTTGAATAGACTTTGCTCAACAAAGCATTAGGATCAGCTTCTCTCCTATGCACGTGACATATCATTTGTTTTTAGCTAGCTGTTTTAGTATGACTTAATTTGTTTGAAAAGTCTTACTTACCTCACAGTGCTCTCGATAAAGACTCTGCAGTGATTTGATATCCTCAAAGGTAGTACCATCTGGTAGGGAAGATATTTCAACTTCTCCAAACTCTGGAAGTGCTCTCGATGCATCTGTTACCATGACAACAGAATAGAAAAAAAACCATTGTGGATGGTGCCAATTACAGTTTAATGAGAAAAAACTTAAGAATACAAAGGCTTTGTTTTTGTAAAGTCAGGGGGCCAAAAAGCCAAGACTTTTCATATTTTCATCTTAATATCTTACAACCAAAAATTAGCAGCAGAAACAAAAGACAAGATAAGATGTGACCAGAACTCTAATTGTAACAAGATTGTCTTAGTTGTGTAAGAGACACAAAATGTCATGGGTGATTTTTTAACCCTAAAGTTTCACTAGAACTTTTAGAAATAGCATAGGGTTTCCCATTTTAGCAGCTCCACACATGTTTACTTAGTACTTATGAATTAAAAAGTCCAACACAAATCCAGATCTTTAAAAAAAAGAATATTTAGCTAAGAAGAAGCCAAACCATCACATTGTGTTGGATATATTACTTAAGCAGAAAGAGCTTTAGAGTTGAATTAGTCTGTAATGAACCATGATACTTTAAGAAAAACCTGCTGCTATTTTGTAGGTTTCACATTATATCTTAACGTACCTAAAAACTGTTGATGATGCTGACTTTGGGCAATTACAGTTTGCTCAACAGATGTGCCTGTCTGTTGACCACTTCCTGTGAAACCATCTGCAACCCCATCCACTTTCTGCATAGGCTTGTACCTTAAAATATGGAATGAAAAAACAACAGCAATAATAACAACAAACACATTATTCCTTGAGTCTTCAAATGTACCACACAAAAATGACTGAGGCACGTGACTTGAATCTGCCTTCTTTTATCGTTCGTGTTGATAAGGATTTAGCTAAGATAAAACAGACTTTAGAAAGTTGGTATATAAAGATGTTTTCAATTCTGCTTTTCCCTGAAAAACTAACCAAAGTTGGGAAATCCAAGAATAAAGAATTAAAACAAAGAGTTCCAAGGTCTTTCTTTAGACCACAAAAGCCTACTCTGCTTGCTCACTGTGTCATAGAGGGGACCAGGGGTTTTCCAAGGCTATTGCCTAGGTGCAAAAGCTGGAAAGCTTTCAAGTATGGGTTTATAGACTCATCATATGTTTTTATCTTGGGGTGGCAAGGAAGTTTACCATTCCCGACTAATGAAACTAGTGCCTATTGAAACAGGGCCTAAAATGTAGCAAGCACTTAATGAACACTTGTTGAATTGAAGTACCACTTATGGTAAAGATGTTTTGGTCTATCCAGCCTGAAGGGGGCAAAGGAAATTTGATCCTTAGTAAATGAAAAGGTGAAGGGTCCTTATCAATTAATTTTACCCTTAGTTCATTTCAGAAGGTTTCCTGTCCTCATCAATTCACTCTGTGCTTAATTTGGTTTTAGCTTCATTATTTTCAGCTATGAATTTTTACTTAGCTAATAAAATAGGCTGAACTTGTTTAACCAATTTAAATCAATACAGTTTGGAATTCGTGGTGTTTAAATAAAAGAGGTGAAAGGAATTTGCATTATTTAACCTAGAGAAGAGAAAGCTGAAACAACTTCCTATAGATTTCAATTATATGAAGCTTTATTATGAGATTATGGAGTAATTATAAAATGGAGACCAGCTATTTTCTGATTATACTTCTTTATTGTCAATTGCATCTAGCAAGTATATCATGGGTGTAAAATGACTGCAAATTTCAAAACTGGCATGGAACTTTAGGTTAGACAGGAAGTACTTTATATAACTTCTTCTTAGATTGTGTTTATATAGGGCAAACAAGCTCTTCATCTCAGTGGCATTACAGAGTGATGATGATACATTCAGTGGTAAGACAATTTCTAAATTCTTAAGGAAGACAGTGAAATATTTTTCCTTGGAGTTATGTTAATACTAGCTACATCATTGAGATGATGATGATATTAAAAGCAGAAGCTCACATTTATATACTAGATAACTGCCTGCAAAGCAATTTCAATAAGTTGTTTCCTTTGAGTCACACAACAACCTTGTGAGATGTCTAGTTTCTTCATTTTATAGAAGGGCAGCATGTATGGTAGAAAGAGCTCTGGACTTGGAGTCAGAACATCCTTGACCCATGATGAGAGTTCTGGTTCTGCTCTAAGCATGTATGACCTCCCTCCCACCCCAAAATGTGATGATAATATTTTTGTTATCTCCTTCACAAGGCTGTTGTAAACAAAGCACTTCCTAAATTGTAAAGCATTCATAAATGTGAACTATCATTAAGAAGAGGAAGTAATATCATAGAGGTTAGTTGACTTGCACAAGGTTACCCAGCTTAGTAAAGAATGGGGCTGAGCCTTAAACCCAGATGTTTTGATTACAAATTCAGTGCTTTTTCAACTAATACCACGTATGCCTCTGATAATAGTAACAGCAGGAAACTATATTAGTAAGAAGATAAACATTTGTAATGATAATAGTTCTTCACCGGTGTAAGATAATGGAACATAGGACATTGAGGGTGTCTTTAAACCTAATCTTGTAGAAAAAGAACCAACAACTAAGAGGAAAAATCCATTTTTATGGAGTTCAGATATTGATTTTGATATTTCATTAAACAACCTCTTTTCTAAGTGTTAAACATTTTTAAATGAATTTTAAGGCAAAATATTTCATTGTTGCAAAAAACAGCTAAAAACCAAAATCAAATAAATATTTATTGTGACTGTGTTGTATTTTTTTTTAAAAAGGTTGTATGTAAATTGAATCTTTGTGAACCGAATCATGCTTTCCCACTGACTTGCACTATAAGCTGGGGATGCTTTATTTTCATTCTGACTGACTTTCTACTGGCAATGGCTCTTGCCATTGAAACATAACTTTAAATTTTTCTGCCTCCTACTACTCTGTCAAGTAATTCATCATCTGTAAGTACACACTTGACTGCAAACACTAGGGGAGCTCACTATTTAAAGAAAGTCTTCTCAAATTTTTTTTTTTTTTTGGTAAGACAAATCATCACCTCCATAAATTATGTTTGAAACACTCAAAGGTCTTGGTTGGCATTTTTATAAAATGGAGTAAACCCAGACCATATCTGAAAATCTGTGGTGCCAAAAAAAAAAAAAAAAAAAAAGACCTGTGCTGTTGCTAATGAAGAAACAGCTCTTGGTTTTAAAATTAGTAAGAAGCAAATGATAATTTTAACAGCTTGCAACTCCATGGGTAACCACCAGCTAAAGTTGTTAATGATTAAGAAATCAAAGAAGCTCTAATGCTTTAATAACTTAGTGTATGCATGAAACCTGTCACTGAAATATAAAACTTGGAAGATTACTAGGAATTTTTTCAATACGGAGCTCATCATAGCTGTTACGTGGAATTTAGACAGTTGTAACTCTACTTTGAAAGCACCATTGAAAATAGACTATATGGCTATGCATGGATACTAAAACATCGTAATGGAAGGCAGAAAGTGGCATATACTTACCACCAGAATTGCCAAATGAACTTCTCTATACTAATCAAGGCTAGGGGGGCAAATTCATACTAAAGTTTTTAAAATAGTTGAAACTGCATGTAGGAAAAACAAAACCCTCACTGAACAGACACAGGCACCATGTGATGATCCTAGTCTGTCTCAGTCACTTACTAACTGTGTGGCCCTGGACAAGTCACTTAACCTCTTCTGGGTCTCAGTTTTCTCATTTGCAAAATGAGGGGATTGAAGTCAGCTCTAAATCTGTGATCCTATGAACCATCCTAAATAATTACATGATTTATAAGCACAGATTAAAAAAAAGCTGTTCTCACTCACAAAGTGTTATGATCTTAACCTCCCAGGTGCAAAGTATCAGGCTTTTTGAAGGCTGTCCCAGTAAAGTGATAAGCATTTTGGATGTGACTACGGTGACAAAATTGCAGTCAATAACAGAACAACTCAGTAGAAAATGGTGAATTAGGTGACTTTCAATGCCCAGGAAAAGCAAATGATATCCTATGAGGTGAATTTGAAGTATGGTAGAAAGAACTCTGGAGTTGGAGTTAAAGAACTCGAGTCCTGGCTCTCCCACTTTCTACCTGTGTGACCACTGCAAGTCACTTTACTACTCTGGTCCTTAGTTTCCTCATCTTTAAAAAAGGGGAAATTGGATTAGAGGACCTCGAATGTTCCTCTCATCTCTGAATGGAGGAAATCCTTTGTAAATAATAGGGTTGCTAAATCTTACCTTTAGTCCCTTCTCTCATTAGTCCCCTCAATTGCCCATTTTATAACAATTTTACTGTTCATAGGCAATCTCCACTGGTAAGTACTTGGGCAGGAGGGAAAAAGTAAGATCTAGACCTATCAATTTGGTTTATTAACAATAGATTTGATACAGGTTTTGATTAAGGGAAAAGCTGAAACCATTGGCTAAAACAAATTCTTTGTCTTAGTGGATTTTACTTATTTTATCTCTTTCACTGAAGAGTGGTAGTATGATGTAGCGACTAGGGAAATGGACTTAGAGATAGGAAGATAGGGGATCAAGTCCCTCTTCTGACACAAAACGGCAGTGTGACCTGGGTGATTCAGTTGTGCTTTAGGCAACCGTCTAAAATCACAAGCAATAATAGCTGCCATTTATGTAGCACTTTAAGGTTTGCAAAGCATTTTATGTATATTGTTTCATTTTATCCTCATAATCTTCCTGGAAGGTAGATGTGATTATTACCCCCATTTTGTATATAACAAAGCTGAGAAAGAGAGAGGTTAAGTGGATTGCCTAGGGTCCCATGGCTAGTACGTATATGAGATAGGATTGGAACTGAGGTGTTCTTGGTTGCAAGTCTGTTACTTTATCCACTGTGGTACTTAGCTCTAAGTTGCAGAGAAGGTTCCAAACTATATTGGTAGAGAGAATTTCTAATATCAATTAAATCACAATTCCAGTCATCTTTATCCCTAGCCTTTTTAGACTCACAGGTATGGGTAATTATACAATTAAAACTATACAGTATACAATCTTACTATAAGTTGTTTTTGTCCCTATCATGAAACCTCTTTCCTGAACCTTCCCCTACCCCCGCCCCCCATTTCCTTCTACATTTATTCCTGCTGCATGGCACCCAGGAGAATTGGGCTCTTTGTTGAGGTGGCAACTTGCTTCTCCCCTCCCATCCTGACAAGCCAGGCAACAAATGAGTACTTAAGACTTTATCTATGGAGAAACAAAAGATTGACCTCCCTCTCACGTAAGAAAACCAAAAATGTGATTTATATTATGGTCTTCAATATGAATTCTGTATATATTCCATCAAAATGGCATGATGTCTAAAGTTGATCTTAATGCTTAAATTCTTTCAAGAAGTTTTAAAAAGCTACTAAATTAAGATATTTATATTAGTATTTTTTTTAATTTAAAATGAGCTATATTTTTGCAAAGGGGAAATTTTACCTTGAATAAGTAACAGCAAATTCTGTGCTATAGTACTATAGGAAGTATATGCATCTATGGAGATTATAAAACTACAACAGGGAATCAATAGTGTTCCAAGAAACATTGTCACAGGTTGGATCATTTAGTTATTTTTAGTTCTTCTGACTTCAATGGAAAATGTGATCATTACATCAGGGACTGCTTCAGAGGCAGAGTGAACACTAAGGCTTTCAGCATAAACCTTCACTTACCTAATTACTAAAGTTAGCTGCTCAGGTGCCATATCACCTATTATCCACCCCTAGAGGTTAATCCGACTCAGGCTCAGC